CTTCAGTGTCACATGATCCTTCAGAAATCATTTTAATATGCTGAAATGCTGCTCAAGAAACATTGTGGAAACCATGTTACTTTTTTCAGGATTCTCTGATGGAAAAACTACTGAGATCACCAGACCAGGACACTCTTTGCTTGTTTAAAAAAACAACTAATAACAGCTGATTACAAATAGTGCACTTCTTTGTGATGATACATTTACACCACCAGGTGCCAGTATAAGTTCAAGGAAACGTGTTTGAAAAATTCGTATTTTTCACAATTCCATTTGGTGCCACTAGCTGTACAGAAATGACACACTTTAAATGCATTGCAAAATGCTGTTTCGTGTTGTCTTTAAGTTTAAAAATAGAAGATAGGTAGTGGAGGTGGATTCAAAGGGTTATATTTAGGGTGTAGGAAACACTGATTTAATGGCATTGCAGATGTTCTGTGATTATGTGATTAAGTAATTGAGCACAGTACTATCACATAACAGAGAACTTACTCTGGTTCAGTCAGCGGCGTGGTCTCATTGGGCTCAGGATGGCCTTCTGCATCATGATTGGCCGTGGCCTCTTCTTCTGTCCTCACTTCTACAATGGGCTCTTTAGACACATCTTGACTGCATGCAGAGAGAAGGTTTGATGAGGTCACTAAAGTCATGGCATAAGAGAAGCTCTTGTTTCTTTCACTGCGGTTAGAGGGCTTTAATAGAACAGCTTATGTGACTGAAAATATTCATGCTTTACATTCATATGCTTTACAATGCAGGGCCCTTGACTGCTCTCGATGTGTGATATGATCTTATTTGAGTCTATCATATATATAGTGCAAGAGCATTGTGGATACTCACACAAAGGCAGCTTTGCCTGTCTCTATGTCTTTGCCCTTGGTGCCTTGCCTGGGTTTACCGCAGATGCACATGAGGATGCCACACTTGTTGAGGAAGCAGCAGGTGGCGTCCACGATCAGCAAGAGCAGCACACACACCAGTATAAGAATACCAACAATTACTCCAGTGTTCAGGCCCGTCCCATCTTCCATGGAGTCTTGAGGAGAAACAGGAGAGATACAGACAAAGAGACAGAGCAGGAGGATCATCAGCCCAAACTGAAGATGGACAAATTATATATACAATGTAACAGTCAAGCAAGCATGAGTTATTTTCAGATCATA